CGCCCCACTACTGGCATCTTGGGACAAAGATGAGAATTTAGAGATTGGGACTGAGCAGACTCAAGCAAAGAGGGGAAATAAAATAAAAAAAAAATAACAATAAGACAAAAGGGTGAGGTCACAAGGCCAAACAGAGTGCCTGGGGGTGGCTGGGACTGGCTGTGGCTGGGTTGGTCAGGGAAAGGTGTATGCTATTTCTAAACATTGAAGGGACAACCAACGCATATCCAGTGTTTTCACAGCACTCCCATAGCCACTGTTCATAAACCTCATGCGGACAAAAGTGCACGAGGAAAGGGGGCTCAGAGAGGTTATGTGACTTACTCAAGGTCTCTCTGCCAACGAGAGGTGGAAGCAGGATCTCACCCTAAGTGCAACTGACTTCAATCCCACATGACTTTGTCCCTTTTACTCCACCCGCTTGGCCAGTAAGAGCCTCTAGCTGCATCTTCGGAGAACACAGAACAGGAAGCCAGAGAAGACAGGAGCCAGAGGTGAAAAGAAATTTCCTCTGGAGGGTGGTTCAGAAGGGTACCAGATCCTTTTCCTCTCCTCCCTCTTACAAGCAACTAAGGAGGAGTTAAAAAACATGAAACCCTGGAACTAGGAGAGAAGGAAGGTGCTATTTAAACTCGTCACTGGGTATAACTGGGCCTGCACATCACCAGGGCCCCGGAGCAGAGCTTCCCTGAAATAACAACTGGAGACGGCTCCTATGGGGTCACATCGTCCCTGTGACTCATGCTGTCGGCTCTTCCTTAGTTTGTGGAAATGAGACAATCAGGATGCTGCTGGGCCTGGTTGCTGGAAATGAGCACCGCGGTCTCTGGGAGCCACCCAGACAGGCCTCACGGCTGGGAAGTCCCCTGGGCCATCACCGCAGGGATCCCTGAGTGTCCTGGATGCTTGGACTGAGCGAGGAGAAGGAATCCTCATGTCCCACCAACAGCCTTCAGCTCTTAGCACCCGGCTCACCAGAGCCTGGGAGTGGGGACAAGCTGTGCGGAAGTTGATCTCCAGGCGTGGGGCAGGTGACTGTGGGGCAGGGGCTGTTCCTCAGGGTGCCGGAGCCGCTGGGGCTCTGTCCCTGAGGGACTCACTGGCACCTCTCCTGCTGTCTAACCCGTCCATTCTCTCTCAGCTGAGGTCAGGGCTACTTGGTAGATGAGAATTCCTTCGAGATTTGCCTTCTTTTTTCCTGAGGGAAACTTACACCGTCTTTCTGGATTGCAGAGATTTGAGTAAAGTTGGCGTTATAACATTAGCAGAGAATTTGGCTGGATGTAGAAGCAGAAGAAACTGAAGGAGGACTGCTGACAGCAACATGCTTGGGGAGCTGGCGGTCAGGGGTCAGACACTCTTGGAGACTGTACCTGGCAAATCCCAGGTTGGCCACATATGCAGTAAATCCACCCTCCCACCACATCCTCTCCTCTCTCCCCCTTGGCTGACTTAGTGTCCGTATCAATATTCCCTTTATTGCTCTGGCCCCACAGATCCCTGGCCCCATGAACTCTACTTCACTCCGCCTGTCATACATACACCCATGCTGAAGTCGTGGGCGTTGCCACCACCCTTAGCGCCTCCACATCTGAAATCCCAAACTCTGTTCCCTGACCCCCATTCCTATCCTTCCAACTCTGTCACCCTATGCTTTTCACTCTGTCTATTCTTTACCTGATGAAACCCCCTAGTTTCTAGAGACTCTGGTGTTCTCTTGCTCTGATTCTGTCTTAGTCTTGGTGTGGGTTTGAGGGAAAGAGGAGGAGGAGTGGAGGAGGCTTCCACTTGACAGGCTGTCAGGGCTGTGGTTGGCCTTGCAGCCCATCTGGGAGGGGGGAGGAAGGGAGGGCGTCAGCTGGGGTCGGGGCCCTGCAGAGAAGTGGGCCTGGAACAATTGGGAACAAAGGCTGGATACTCTTCCGCTGAGCCCCACAGCCTGGCCTTGGCCTTCCGGGAACAGCTTCAGGAAATGGCTGAGATTCCAGATTTGGAAGGAAGAGACCTGTAAACTGGAGCTGGGCTCTGAGAGGGGAGAGCAGCCTCTCTGTCAGCTGGGGGTGGGTAGTGGGGGCAGCAGGATGACAGCTGACATTGCAGGCTCAGAAGCTGCAAGTCCTGTCTGGTACAGACACAGACACAGGGTCTCAGGACTGGAAAGACTCTTCAAAGATCATTCACTCCAACCACATTTCCAGGGCCTGGAAAATATCCCTGCTGAGGATGCTTGAATAGTTTCAGTGATGGGATATGCATAAGAATAAGTAAAAAATACTGGCTAACCTTTACCGATCACTTATAATGCGTGGGGCACTGCATGTGCTAAGTGGTTTCATCAGTACTCTAGCTCTCAAGGTAGGAGCTACTATGATTATTCCCATTTTACATATAAGGAAATTGACTTACAGGGTTAAGTAAGGCCTCCACGAAGCCATTTCATCCATCTCTGAGCTGAATGTAGACATGCTCTACGGGAATCTGCCAGCTTGGTCCAGAGGCTCTGAGTCCCTCCTATCTTCTCCTCTACCTCACCCCTGCCCTATGTGTCCCTGGGGATGGGGATCGTGGGATGACAGCCCACCCCTGTCCCCCCCACCCCTGTGCCCTCTGTCCTCAGCTTCTCCATGCTGTGCCCTGAGACTCTGCCTCTGGGTGGTCACCTGGAAACAAAGGGATAAGGGTTGGGACTCAAGGATAAGATTTTTTTTTTTTTTTAAACAGAGTCTCACTCTGTTGCCTGGGCTAGAGTGCCATGGCGTCGGCCTAGCTCACAGCAACCTCAAACTCCTAGACTCAAGCGATCCTCCTGCCTCAGCCTCCCAAGTAGCTGGAACTACAGGCATGTGCCACCACACCCAGCTTATTTTTTCTATATATTTTTAGTTGTCCAGCTAATTTCTTTCTATTTTAAGTAGAGACGGGGTCTTGCTCTTGCTCAGGATGGTCTTGAACTCCTGAGCTGAAACGATCCTTCTGCCTCAGCCTCCCAGAGTGCTAGGATTACAGGCGTGAGCCACTGCATCTATCATACAAAGATAAGATTTCAATAGAGTGTTAGGGCTGAAGCATTAAGGCTATGGTTGGAGTTATGGTTAATGTGAGGACTCCCATTAAGAAGTCTCAGATTAGATCATGAGGTGATCTGGGGCTGAAGTTAGAGCTGGGGAGATGGCTTAAGAGTTGAGGTCAGAGAGTTTCTCGCCTCTGGTCTCCTCCCAGTTCTCCAGGGCACTAAGGGCCAGGCAGGAAGCATCGGTTTCCTCAAAGCCGCTTCCCTCCTGGGGCAGTCTCCGTCACAAACAACCACCACCACCCCACCCCTCCCCTCCTTCCCTCTCAGCTGTGAGCTCAGAGCAGTAGGACAAAGTGCCTGGGACAAGGACAGAGGCCTGAGAGCCGCCATGGGCTCTGGAGGAGTGAGCCTCCCAGGGGCCGGGCGGCCCCTGCCCCTCCTGCTCCTGCTCCTCACGGGTGAGTGCGGCCCCCCTCCCGGCCCACGCTCCTTCGATCCAAGGCCCGGTCAGGGCAGGAGATGGCCACTGGCTCCTTTGCTTCCCTTTCGCAGTGGGGGTACCAGAGATGATGATGATGATGATGATGAGTATGTGTGTGCGTGCGCATTACACAGCCGTGGCCTGGATGCCATGCACGTTGGCCCTCTCCCCTGCCACTCCCTGCTAGCTTGTTATCTGACCGTCACGGGCACGGCCACCAGGAAAACTTGCACACAACAGAAGACAGCTGATGCGAGGGCAGGGATTTGGGCCGCCGAGGTGGTCAGACCTGGCTCTGCTCCCTTTACCTCCCAGGAGGCATGGCCCAGGACTCCCCGCCCCAGATCCTAGTCCACCCCCAGGACCAGCTGCTCCAGGGCCCTGGCCCCGCCAGGATGAGCTGCCGAGCCTCCGGCCAGCCGCCTCCCACCATCCGCTGGCTGCTGAATGGGCAGCCCTTGAGCATGGTGCCCCCAGACCTACACCACCTCCTACCTGATGGAACCCTCCTGCTGCTGCGGCCTCCTGCCCAGGGACGGGCCCACGATGACCAGGCCCAATCCGCAGACCTGGGCATCTACACCTGTGAGGCCAGCAACCACCTGGGCACAGCAGTCAGCCGAGGTGCTCGGCTGTTTGTGGCTGGTGAGCCTGGGAAGAGGCCCAGGGCGGGGCCAACCTGGGCTGAGATGCCAGGGCTGAGGGAAGTTCAGGGGATGTCTGTGAGCAGGCAGAGGCCTGGGCTGGGAGACTCGGGAAGGAGAGCGGGGTTGGGCCGGCCCTGGATGGGAGGCCTCGGAGGTGGGCAAAGCAGAATGTGGCAAGTGTGGTAGGGGAGGGGAGGGAATGGAAAGGGAGGACAGGCCCTGCTCCCTGTCAACCCTCCATCCTCCCAACAGTCCTCCGGGAGGATTTCCAGATCCAACCTCGGGACACAGAGGCTGTGGAGGGCGAGCAGGTGATTCTGGAATGTGGGCCGCCCTGGGGCCACCCGGAGCCCACAGTGTCATGGTGGAAAGATGGGAAACCCCTGGCCCTCCAGCCGGGGCGGCACACGGTGAGTGTACCCCTCCCCACACGACTGGGCGCACCCTGCGGGACTGGCCTGCTCTCTAGCCCCGTGGCCCCTGGCAGAATTTGAGCAAGGGAGGGCAGTGAGGCCTCAGGCTTCCCTCCAGCCTCTGAGACTCTCCACACGTGGGGGACTTCACAGTGCACCTGCCCCGACAGGTGTCCAGGGGTTCCCTGCTGATGGCAAAAGCAGAGAAGAGTGACGCAGGGACCTATATGTGTGTGGCCGCCAACAACGCAGGGCAGCGGGAGAGCCGAGCAGCCAGGGTGTCTGTCCAGGGTAAGGCAGGGGGTCAGCTGAAGTCCGGGTCGGCTGGGGGACTCCAGCCAGGGTGGTGTGTTCTGGTTTGGGCTGGGCTTAGGGTATGTGGGGCTCAGCCTGGGGACAAGGGTCAGAGTGGTGGGGGCCTCATGTAGGGGAGGTGCCCCCATGCTGGAGTGGAAATGGGAGTGCCAGACCTGGGGACTCCGGGAGTTTGGCTTCCTCAGTCCTTCGCTCCGGCCTGTAGGCCCCATCCCAGCCCCATGCTCCCCGCAGAGCCCCAGGATTTCAAGGAGCCTTTGGAGCTTCTGGCTGTGCGCATTCGGCTGGAAAACGTGACACTGCTGCAGCCGGACCCCGCAAAGGGCCCCAAGCCTGGGCCTGCCGTGTGGCTCAGCTGGAAGGTGAGGCCAGATCCTAAGGGTGAGAGCCAGCCAGAGCTCAGGAAAGGCTGGCCGCGAGCTCCCTGGCTCCTCACCCTCGCGCCCGCCTCCTCCCCAGGTGAGTGGCCCTGCTGCACCCGCTCAGTCCTACACGGCCTTGTTCAGGGCCCAGACTGCCCCAGGAGGCCAGGGAGCTCCGTGGGCAGAGGCGTTGCTCGACGGCTGGCAGAGCGCAGAGCTTGGGGGCCTCCACTGGGGCCAAGACTATGAGTTCAAAGTGAGACCATCCTCCGGCCGGGCTCGGGGCCCCGACAGCAACGTGCTGCTCCTGAGGCTGCCGGAACAAGGTCAGGGACTGATCCCCCCAGAACCCAACAATATCCCCTCTGGCTCCTTCTTGTTTGGGGGCCCCTGGACTGTCCCACTCCAGTGTGGGGTATGGTGGGTTCTACTGCTGGATTCACTTCTGCCCCGGCCAGGCAAGGAGAACTGCGAGAAGCTTATATTCTCCTCCGTGGGGCTCTGGCTGTGTCCCCCATTCCAGATCTCTTCCCTAGACTCTTCTTCCTCAGCACCCCTTACCGCCTCTCTTCCTCCCCTCCAGTGCCCAGTGCCCCACCCCAGGAGGTGACCCTAAAACCTGGCAATGGCAGTGTCCTTGTGAGCTGGGTTCCACCACCTGCTGAAAACCACAACGGCGTCATCCGTGGCTACCAGGTACCCCCCACGAGCTGCCACAGCCCTTCCTGGTGGTACCAGGGCATCTCTTCTCCCCAGAGTCCTGCAGACCCTTGCTCTGGGCACTGAGAAACAGCACCTGTGTGGAGAAGCAAAGGAAACTTACCTTTGTTGAGCAAGGACCTACTGTCTGCCAGACCCTGCCAAGCACTTTGCCTCCACGATCTCACTTCACCTCCCAGTGTCCTGTAGGATATTATCCCCAATTTACAGATGTGGAAAGTGAGGCTAAGGTAACAGGTGAAAGAAACAGAACAGGAATCACGCCGGGTTGTATCTGACTCTAGACGTCTAAGACTGTGGTGCTGTAAATGTGGCTCCTGGACCAGCAACATCAGCCTCACCTGGGAACTTGTTAGGACTGCATGGCCCCAGGGCCTTTCCCAGGCCTGCTCCATTAGAAACTCCCGCAAGCTGTAATTTAGCAAGGCTTCCAGGTGATTCTGAAACACGCTGAATTTGAGAACCACTGGTTTTAGGCATATTTTTGCAAGTTGCTTTTGTCCTTCTTCCGTTGGTCTTGAGACAAGTCTCTCTCACTTTGTAGAGGAGAGGGGACTAGGAAGTGTGGGTGCATGTTGGGGGGCTTCCCGGGTGGATGGCAGGGCAGGCTGACCACGTGCCTGGAGTCTGACCCGCAGATGATGGGTGCAGCTGCTGGGACGGTGCCCGGGAGGCTGCTCACCTTTGCCTGTGCCTCAGGTCTGGAGCCTGGGCAACACCTCACTGCCCCCAGCCAACTGGACTGTAGTGGGAGAGCAGACCCAGCTGGAGATCGCCACCCGAATGCCAGGCTCCTACTGCGTGCAAGTGGCTGCAGTCACTGGCGCTGGGGCTGGGGAGCCCAGTAGCCCTGTGTGCCTCCTTTTAGGTGAGGGCAGTGCCCACAGGCCCCAGCCATACCCTGCACCCCCATTTCTACCTTTCGCTCCTCCTGCTCCTGCCTCCCACTTCCAGCTCCTCCCGCTTGTCTGCTGGACCCTCGCCGCCTTGCCTGCCCCTCTGCCTGAGCTCTGCATCCCATACAGAGCAGGCCATGGAGCGAGCCGCCCGAGAACCCCGTGAGCATGGTCCCTGGATCCTGGAGCAGCTGAGAGCCACCTTGAGGCGGCCAGAGGTCATTGCCAGCGGGGGTGTTGTTCTCTGGCTGCTGCTGCTGGGCACCGCTGTGTGTATCCACCGCCGGCGCAGAGCTGGGGTGCACCTGGGCCCAGGTGAGAGTTGAGGGTGACCCCGAGGTGGTCAGCCTTCTCCTGGGTTCAGCCGTAACACTGCAGGAGCTTTAGATCTCTGGCCAGGTGATGGAGCCTCTGGATTTAGCCTTCCTCCTGCCTTCCTCCAGGTCTGTACAGGTATACCAGCGAGGATGCCATCCTAAAACACAGGTGAGAGATCAAAGTGGCTTGAGATGGGGGGATGGGGAGGCTGAGGGACCGTGGGGCTGGGACAGAGAACCGAATGGGCTACTAATCTATCTGCTAGGCAGTTTGAGACCCTAGTACCTGAATCTCTCCTGAACTCCAAGTGAAAGTTCATTTCTTTTTCGTTAATGTTTCTATCACACCACTTGACAGGTGAGTAAACTGAGACTCATAAAACGAGTGACTTTGCTCAAGCCTGCACAACTAGTAGCTGGCCTCCTGAATGCCTAACCCACTGCTCTTGTCACCCGCCTCTTATTAACACACACCACATGCTCCTGCTTTCTTACTCTGCTAGGGGAGGATAACCGGCATGGCCAGCTCTAATGTCTGACGTTCTCTGCACGGCCAGTGTGTACTGAGCAGTGCCTCTGCCTTCAGTAAATCTGCTGAGCTCTTTCCTGCACCGTAATCCACCCCCATCTCCAGCAGAGGGCGCTCCACCCCTACATCATAGATTTTTTTTTCTCTTTGTTCTCGAAACCAGAGCCAGACTGTGGGCACTTCTGCTCCAAGTGGGTTTGGCTGCCAGAGCAAGTCTGTGGTTGTGAGACAAGACACTAATAACACATCCTTTTTGCTCCTATTGGCTGAGTTTTACACGAAGTAACCATTTTATCTCTCTGCCTGCTTCCTTGGCTCTTTATCGTGTTAGATTTCCTCCGGGAGGCTTCGCACTCCAGGTCTGTATCTATCAACACCAGTTATCAAGCACCTACTGTGTGCCAGATACATCCAGGCCTGGGGCTGCCATTTTGCCGTCAGATTCTCACCCCAGAACAAGATTCCAAGCTGGCTGGTGGTGTGTTCCTGAGTTTTTCTGTGCTCACTGGCTTCTCTCTCCTTGTACTTCCCGGGCTTTGTCTGCTCTGCCCTGAACTTTCTCTGTCTCCCCTGGGACCTGCTCTCTTGTACTTGAGGGAGATGCTGTTCTGATCATTTATTTGGTTTATTCATTCCTTTGGCATAGTCTCCATGTGCCAGGAATGCTCAGCCTAGGCAGAGACAGGCATGAGAGCATTTGAGAACAATAGTGTGGGCAGTGCAGAAGCACGTACAGGATACATGGAGTGGGGCAGGGGAGGGAAACACAGGAGAAAAAAGATTCTGCATTTACCCTGAAGTGAGAAGGGGAAGGGCAGAGGGAACAGCAAGTAATAGCCTGCTGCCTCCACAGGGAAAGACAAGCCGTTTGGTCTCGCTGGAACACAGAACGTGAGGTGGATCCCAGCAAAGGATAAAGTTAGGGAACTGGAGGCCAGACCGAGGAGGGCTCACTCACCCTATTAGCCATGCTGGGCACCTGGGCTCTATCTTGGCAAATGGGGAGCCGCTGAAGGTTCTAAGCAGAGAAGTGCCTGTTATTAAAGGATCGCTCTGGCAGCTGGAGGCCAACATCCATGCAACGAGCTCCTGCTCTGCCAACCGAGTGATCTCACATTTCCTCATCTAAACTCACAGCATCAGCCTTGAGGGTAGAAGGTCTTACTGTTGCCATTTTACAGATGAGGAAACTAGGGCTCAGAGAGGCTAATGCATTTATATACTTATGTAGGGTTGCACAGCTAACCCTGGCTGATAGGGATTTTCAAACCAGATTTGTCTGGCTCCAGATTTTCTGTCCTTTTCATCTCAGCATACATAGTTGTCTCTTGTTAATACCTCCTAGCTCTGGGCAACTCGGATTTCTCTTGATCCCAGGATAGAAAGGGGCGCTGAGTCTGGGGCACCAGGTCAGAGATCTTAAGGAGTCTGTGAAGGGCTGCAAAGTAGTAGTAAGGATAAAGCCATCCGTCTCCTCAACCCCTTCTGCCACTCTTGGAGCGGGAGGTCTTGGCCAACTAGGTTCTCACTTCCCTCTGCTTTTCCTCACCTCGCCTGACCCTCCACTGCCCCAGGATGGATCACAGCGACTCCCCCTGGCTGGCGGATACTTGGCGTTCCACCTCGGGCTCCCGGGACCTGAGCAGCAGCAGCAGCCTCAGCAGTCGGCTGGGAGTGGACCCCCGGGACCCCCTAGACAGTCGTCGCTCCTGTGAGCCTGCCCATTGTGGGCACGGGCCTGGCTGGGGGGCAGGGATCCCAGGGTTGGGGAGTGAGACGTGCTCACCATAATTCCTCCTGTCGTTTTGATGGCAGTGATCTCCTGGGACCCCCGAAGCCCCGGTGTGCCCCTGCTTCCAGACACCAGCACTTTTTATGGCTCCCTCATCGCTGAGCTGCCCTCCAGCCCCCCAGCCCGGCCAAGCCCCCAGGCCCCAGCTGTCAGGCGCCTCCCGCCCCAGCTGGCCCGGCTCTCCAGCCCCTGGGCCAGCTCAGACAGCCTCTGCAGCCACAGGGCGCTCTCTTCTCCACGCTTGTCTCTGGCCCCCGCAGAGGCTTGGAAGGCCAAAAGGAAGCAGGGTAAGGATGGGAAGGATAGACACAGCCCGCACTGGTAGTAGGAGGGCCTGCGAGTGGGAACGTGGTGGGAAAGAGGCCTTGAAACCAGGGGTGGGCTGCGGGCCCCAGCAGCTTCCACTCTCCTCTCCGGGTGGACTCAAGGCGTCTTTCTCCTATCACGAGAGCACTCAGCCAGGGGTATGCTCACCTCGGCTTTTCTTTGCCCTGTGCCTTTGCTTTGATTTGGCCACGCCAGCAGTGAGCTCTGTTTCTGCAGTTAAATCAACTTAGCAAACGTCTATTAAGTACCACCACGTGCCAGATCTGGAGGACACGAGATACCGGACACAGCTCTTGCCTTCTGAAGGCTCATGGTTGTCTAACGAAAGTGCTGACTAGCATACAAGTAGCTAGAGCCTGGCAGAATGTCACCAGTACTGGCACAAAGCCTCAGGCTCCCATGAACTTATCTCCTTGTGCACTACGTACAGGTGTGCTTGGGTACTGGCTCCTTTCCAGACAGATTTCTCTCCTGTCTTCCAGCTGTCTGCTTTGACTTTACAGAGAGAAATAATTATAGTCTCTATTTCTTGAGCAACTACTATATGCTAGGTGCTTTACTTATATTTGTTATTTCGCTTAATCCTCACCTAGGTATTATTTCTCTAATTTTACAGAGAAGAAAGAGGGTCAGAATTATTGGGTAACTTGTTCAAAATTCCACAGGTACTAAGCCACAGAATTCAAATTTGAAGTTAGGATGGTCTGCCTCCAAAGGCTACTCTGAATCTCTCAGCTCCCTTGGGAAATCCTATTCTCTTGCTATTTCCTCCCATTCTGACCTGCAGAAGGCTGACCTGCACCCTACCTGCTGTCTTCATGAGTCTTCTGTGCTGATTAGTAAGACTTAACAAATGTTCTACAGCCAACTCTTTTTTTTTAAGTGGATACAATCCAACTTTTATTAAGCAAAGATGGATTAAGAGTAAGAGCTTTTTCGTTACCCAGAATTTTATGGCTCTAAATGTTAGCAAAGCTGGCATCCTTACCAGCTTTGCCTCAGAGATATTGCATTATAAATCCTTGGTGATAATGAAACACCAGCTAAAAAGAGGTTGAATAAGTCTCATTTTAAAAAACAGCCTTTGCATGGAGAACTACACTGACTTTAGTGGATTGTATAGCCTCTCTGAGAACATTAATACTATGGGGAAAGATGAGTGGTTTTCTAAAGCCAGTTCTTAAGAAGGCTTCCAATTCTGAGATGAGGCTCCCTAACACGTGGTTTAGGTCCTCAGTTCACCCCCTATTTCTCCTTACTCCAGCCCCATCTCACCACTTCCCCAGGTTAGAGCAATTGCAGTGACTCTCCTTGGCTGGTGGACACATGATGTTCCACCTCTGGCTCCCAGGACCTTGGAAGCAGCAACAAGATCATGCTATGGTCTTGTCCAGAGCCATGGAGTTGATTCTTCTGCTGTCACCTCATCCAAAGACAGCTGTTTCTGCCTTTTCTAAAACTGTCAGGCTCTTTCAGTGCCGCCACTCCCCTTGACCTGCTTGTTCCTTTTTCTTATTATTTGACCTTTGTTGGGGGTTTTCTCCACCACTGATATTCTCACAACTGCACTCTGTCGTCTCTCATCCATTACATCAGGTTCTTAGTCTGCTCACTTTACCAGATACATGCACTGAATATCCTCATTCATTTATTATTTCATTCAAACAAATACTTATTACAATTCAAGTATGCCAAATGAGATTTGACCTTTCATCTTGATAACATTTTTATTGTATAATTTCTTTCTTTCTTTCTTTCTTTCTTTCTTTCTTTCTTTCTTTCTTTCTTTCTTCTTTCTTTCTTTCTTTCTTTCTTTCTTTCTTTCTTTCTTTCTTCTTTCTTTCTTTCTTTCTTTCTTCCTTTCTTTCTTTTTCTTTCTTTCTTTCTTTCTTTCTTCTTTCTTTCTTTCTTTCTTCCTTTCTTTCTTTTTCTTTCTTTCTTTCTTTCTTTC